ATAATCATCAAAACTGCATGCTATTGGAACAAGAACAGACATACAGACCAATGGAATCGAATAGAAAATCCAGAAATAAACCCACAGATTTATGGTCAACTAATCTTTGACAAAGGAGCAAAGACTATGCATTGGAGCAAAGAAAGTTTGTTCAATAAATGGTGCTGGGAAAACTGGGTCGCTACATGCAAAAGAATGAAGCTTGACCACTACCTCACACCATACACAAAAATCAACTCAAAATGGATTAAAGAACTAGACATAAGACCTGAAACCATAAAATACATAGAAGGAAATATAGGCGAAACACTACGGGATTTGCACATCAAAGACATCTTTACAGACACATCACCCAAAGCAGTGATAGTGAAGACAAAGATAAACAGCTGGGACTACATCAAATTAAAGAGCTTCTGCACAGCAAAAGAGACAATAACAAAAACAAAGAGAAACCCCACCAACTGGGAGAACATTTTTGCACCCAACACTAATGATAAAGGACTGATCACAAAAATCTGCAAAGAGCTGATGAGACTCAGCAACAACAAAGAAAATAATCCAGTCAAAAAATGGGCAGAAGAGCTAAAAAGAAACTTCTCTGAAGAGTAAATGCAAATGGCCAACAGGCATATGAAAAAATGTTCAACATCACTTGTAATCAGGGAAATGCAAATCAAAACTACCATGAGATACCATCTCACACCAGTGAGAATGGCACATATTAAAAAAACTAGCAACAACAAATGTTGGCGAGGGTGTGGAGAAAAAGGAACTCTTCTGCACTGTTGGTGGGAGTGCAAACTGGTCCAACCACTATGGAGAGCTGTGTGGAGATTTCTGGACCTACTAAACATAGAGCTTCCATATGATCCAGCAATTCCACTCCTAGGTATTTACCCAAAGGACACAGAAACATCAATTCCAAAGAGCACCTGCACCCCTATGTTTATAGCAGCACTGTTTACAATAGCTAAGCTTTGGAAACAACCCAAATGCCCAAAAATAGATGACTGGATCAAGAAGATGTGGTACATATATACCATGGAATATTACTCAGCATTCAAAAAAGATAAACACATGCAATTTGCAGCAACATGGATGGCGCTGGAAGGGATCATGCTCAGCGAAATAAGCCAAAAAGAAAAAGAAAAATACCGGATGGTCTCACTCATAGCAGGAATCTAGAAAACTTAAATAAGGGACCAGGAAAATGAATATAAGAAAGTGAAAATCAAAATCAACAAAAAACTATGAACCAGAGACACTTTTTGGGGGGTGGGGGGCGGGGAGGGGAAGGATTGGGGTCAGAATGGGGCGTTTGCAATTGTATGGGGGAATATAAAAATAAAATTTAATATTAAAAAAAAAAAAAAGAATTTGAGCAGGTATCACAGTGCCAAAGTCTACTACATAAACTTGATCTAAGATAATGTGTAAACATGCCATTGATGCAAAATGGGTCTGATCAAAAGAAATGGTGATTAATTCGCATTGTGTAGTGAAGTAGAGTTGAAATAAAAGAACTGACTAACTTCTCAAAAAAAAAAAAAAAAAGAATGAACTACCAGTGCATGTAAGAGTAAGCAACAGTACAGATGAATGTCAACACAAAAAGGATCTCTGTATAATTCCATTCTTATGAAGTTCAAAGACAAGTTGAAAATAAGTGTGGTGATAGCAAAAAGTGAGTGAAACAGACTGGGAGAGCGGAAAATCTTCCAGTGAACTAGAAATGCTACATATTTCCATATCAAACTGATTTTGTGCATAGATACAGATACAGAAAATGAATTCAGCCTACATTTAAGAATTGTGTACTTTACTGTACATAGGTTATACCTTAACAAAAAACACCATAAGACACCTAATGTTCCCTATCCTTAAGACACCTAATATTCCCTATCCTTGAATGATACATTTATTCATTAATTCATTCGTTATTTATCCATTCCAGCGAATGCCCACCACAACGCTAAACATAAAGAGCATGCCACACTAAGAGTTCTGATGCCAGTGGAGAAAATCACTTCATTGTTAGTACTGTTTGTTTGATAATAACTCATATATCACCTTCTGAAATCTCATCTGCAGTTTTCCCCAGTTATTGATATTTTATATTTTGCTTAAATTTACAACCAGTCTAACTGACAATGTAAATTCCTCAGTTGTTCTTAATCTTCCTATGCCCTTTGATACTAATCATGCTAATAGTTTGTATTTGGAGAAACCCATTATGGAACTAATTCTCAATCAGAATAGATATGGTCTTCTTTAAAAATAAAAGGTTTAAAATTAATTTTTTCATCAATTTCCATTAAAAGTTTGGAACTCTGAAAGACTAAATATGTAAATATGGTAAGACACAGATTAATAATAAAGTATCAGGTGCTGGGTTTATAAACGTTACATGGAATTTAGATATATTTTCTCCAGCTCTTAATTTCAACTGATTCTCCACCCATATTTCCCATATTTTCCCAATTTATTAATCCAATTTATTAATTTATGAGATATAAAAACTCATAAATTCCGATTAGTTTCTACCACCTATTTTTTCCAAAACTTTTCCAATAAAGACTATCATAAAGCAGGGCCTCCCCGGTGGCGCAGCGGTTGAGCACTGGGTTGCGAAGCTGCCCGCAGCCTCTGCAGCGCTGGTTCGATCCCCGGCTGCTCCCCAGCCACCACAGGAGAGTCCCACATGGCGCGCAGACCTCTCCTGCCCCGCCCGCTGCTCCCCTCAGCAGTGTACTTCAATGTATTTCTGCCTGTTCTGTTCCCCGGTCTGGCTCTGGTGAATTCTCTCACCCTCCCGCACTTCTGACTGTACCCAGTGCTTGTATAAACAAGTAAATAAATCTTTAAAAAAAAAAAGACTATCATAAAGCAGAAAAAAAATGTGGGAAAGGTACAGATATTACCCATATACACCCTACTGCCACACATGTATAGTCTCCCCATTATCAAAACACTCACCAAACTGTACATTTATTACAAATGATGAACCTACAGTGACACATCATTATCACCCAAAGTCCACAGTATATATAAGGGCTCACTCTTGTACATTCTGTGGGTTTAGACAAATGAACAATGACATGTCTCCATTATTATGGTATCACAAAGTGTTTTCGCTGTCCCCCAAACCCTCTGTCATCTATTTATCCCTTTCTCTCTTCTACGCCCTAACAATGTCTGATCTTTTTACTGTCTCCATAGTTCTGTCTTCTCTAGAACGTCATAGAGTTGGAATCATATAGCATGTGGTCTTTTCAGATTAGTTTCTCTCACTTAGTAAAATTTAATTTCATTTAAATTTTCACAATGTCTTTTCATGGCTTGATAGCTCATTTCTTTCAGCACTAAATATTATTCCACTGTCTGGTTCTATCACAGTTTATTCATTCACCTACTAAAGGACATGATATTTGCCTTCAAATTTTGACACTTATAAACATAGCTGCCAGAGACACCCACGTACAGCTATTTGTGTGGATATAGGTTTTCAACTCCTTTGGGTAAAGGAGTTGTATCTTACGGTAAGAGTACATTTAGTTTTGGGCCTCCCGGGTGACTTAGGGGTTAAGTCTCAGTGCTACCACCATGAGGGCCCTCCACAGGGGAGCAGCCTGAGTTCAATCCCTAGCCAGGGAGCTAACCCACATGGCGCACAGACCTCTCCTGTTTTACCTGCTGCTCCCCTCAGCAGTATATTTCAGTAAATCTACCTGTTTGTGTACTGCTCCTCACTCTGTCTCTGGTAAATACTTCTGCCCTACACCCCAGCTCTTCTACGCAAAAATAAATAAAATAAATAAAAATCTTACAATAAAGGAATCATTCTTAAAAAAAGAGTATGTTTAGTTTTATAACAAACTGCCAATGCACTCCAAAATGACCTACCATTTTGTAATCCCACTAACAACAAATGAAAATTCCTGATGCTCCAGATCCATGCCAGTATTTATTGCTGTTAATGTTGGATTTTGTCCATTTGAATAGTAGCACAGGAGTACCTCACTGCTGCTTAAAAACATTTAATGACATGTGATGGGGAACATCTTTTCATATGCTTATATGCCATCTGTATATCTTTGGTGAGATATTTTTTAAAGCCTTTGGCCCATTTAAAAATTCAGGTTGTTTTCTTATTGCAGAGCTTTAAAAATTCTCTCTACATTATGGATGAGTCCTTTTCAGGTGTCTTTTGCAAATATTTACTCCCACTTGGTGTCTTATCTCTTCATTCTCTTGGTATTATCTTTCACAGAGTAGAGGTTTTTAGTTTTAATGAAGGCCAGTTCCTTCACCTTTAATGTACTGGATCCCATAGTTGTACAGGAAGGCAATTAAAGTATTTTCTGTTGAAATATGAAAACGAAACCTGTCCTATGGCACTGCATTTCACTAATCTCTAATTCGAAATGTTAACAGTTCCTTTTAAAAAATAAATATTAAGGTTAAGTAAACACAATGACACTTCATTTACATATCTTGATTCATGAAACAACTCCCCATAAAGACAGATTCTGAGAAATAATAATGACAAAATTGAGTTTTGCTAACATTTTGATACTAACCTTAAAAACTAGTAAATTTGCATTTTTCCTCATCAGAATTCTCTTTTGCAATATGCATCAATGAAAATTTAATACTCAAACAGTAAGGGGAGGGACTATCTAACATTGATTGTAGTTATTCAATTTGAAAACTAACATATTTTTGAGACTGGCATTTTAAACCTGTAGGGACAAAAACCTACATAGCAAAAAAAAAAAGAAAGAAAAGAGAAGAAAAAAATCTCTGCATTTAATTCTGTATCTCCCTATGAAATAAGTAAAATACTACAAGTCTAAATTTTTAAGTAGAACATGCATACCTGTGTTGTTTTGTGGCATGAATACATATGCCTTCCAGACTAAGCAAGGGAAGACAGAGTTTCTCACCTTCACTGCACCTTGAATAAAACAGCCATCAAAATCGTTGTCAAAAGGACTTACAAAGTAATGACATGGGGCTCTCTTGACCAAGAAGGAAATCAGAACCACTATGGGGGTGAGGGGTTGGCCAGCAGTGAATTTTTCTGGTTTCTAGAGATAAAAGCCTTTAAAAAAAAAAAAAAAGTTCAAAGTATGAAAACAGTTCCAAAAGGGTCAAACAAAGTTGAAATTTGCTCAATACAAAATTCTCCATTTGAACTGCTATAATCTGTTTTTTGATCTCTTCATATCACATCAAGGCCCCCAGCCATTTCCGTACTGCTGAAGTCAGTGAAGAACATATTTGAACTTCACTTTCTTGAGGCTGTTCTCTACTTAGACACGTTCAAATGCAGCTTTTGTGAAAGGGCAAAGGCATAGGCAGAAAAACAGACCATCAAATATCTGAGATCCTTTTGCAGTTCTATTTAGTGATTTGATAATTACATCCTAACCCCTTTCTACATAACAGTCCTTGGCTATCATCCCCTGCTTTCCAACTAATCATTTCTCAGTAATCTTCAGTTTGAATTGGAAGTATTAGGATAAACTCAGGAAGCTGTTTACTTTAAGGTAAAATTTCCTAACTTTGTTCTCTGAAAAGGCCTAGAAATAATGCCTATCCAAGCAGCAATCACCAGCCCTAGTTATACACTGGTCTTAAAATATTATTTCCATTGAAAGGAACCAAAGCTCCTTGAAAAATACCCAATTCCAGATCTGAGAACAAAAAGTACAATGAGTGAGAACACCTGGTCTATCAAAGACTAGCAGGACTATATTATAAATAAATAGAAAGCTAGATGAATAGATGATAGATAATTAGAGAAGTACATGCACACCAGACCTACAGTGCAGAAGCCAATCAGAAGAAGCTCCACTAGCCAACAATGACACAATGGATCATCAAATAGAACAGTGACTACAGATGGATTGAAACATCAAATATGTTAAATCCACAAGCTTGTGACAATCTTTAAAAATATATATATTGGTCACCTTTGGAGGAGAGCTGCTAATCATCTCATTTTAAAACCAGTACATAGAGGAGGGAAATCAGCATTTATCCTGCTTTTCAACTACAAGCCAGATACCTCAGTGCAATTCAGGCCTTGATAGAGAGCAGTTTCCCTTTATGGAGGCATTCCAGCTAGTGACTGAAGACTATTAGAATTAGAAGCTTACCATTCTGCATCTCCTGATGAATGAATGAGATCTCAGCAGTGGCATTCAATGCTGCTATCATTACTAGAGATCATTTAAGTTCAATATGGGGCAACGAATCATCCAGTATTGACTCAAACGTAATAAGACAATCAGCAAAGGGAATAAAACTAAGTGAATTTTACCTTTTGGGCTCTCTTTTTTCCCATTAGTTAAAGAAACTACAAGCAATTCAGCAACATGAGCATTTAAACTTCTTTTTGGAAAAGAAATTGCCACCTGTCAAAGAAGCCAGAGGCACGTATAAATTAGTTCATCCTTGGGTTCATTGCTCTAACTTTCCTGTATAAATTATTATAAATGTCTTCCCTAAAAGCTAAAAGTAAGGGTAATGTTGCCATTTATTTTTATTTTATATTTTGGTTTCTGTTGGCCTTCTCTAACCTAAAAGAGAGATAATTGAGTTAAAGAATTCAAAGAAAATTCCTTACAGAAGAAAAACACATTTGGATTTAATTCTACTGTTGAGTCTTCACTGATTTCTTTTAAATTAAATGAAATTAAATTAAATGCCAGCTCTGGATACAGTAATTTAAGCATTATTTTGATCATTTCTCTTCTACTTAATTAGCAAAACTGAACCATTAAGTAATCCCATTAAAAATGATGAGACAGGTAAATGGCTTTCTGGATCTTATAATTATCAGTACTTGACCTTAAAAAATCAGCACAAATTCAAATGGAATTTGATCAAGTAGCGTCCAAAAACATATAGGCAGATGCAGTAGGGGAAATGAATAGCAGGCCTTCAGGTCTGGGATACGTACCTTATAAGCAAATGACTCAGCTAGCCACAGGCAAGCTATTTCGTGGTGCAGCACCTCTTCCACCACCAACCTTCCAAATAGAATCAGCTGTCACTAGACAGAATGATGGATTCTTCCCACAGGAAGAAAAACTGCTCATCTCTCCACTTGAGTTCAAAACTGATGAGATGAGGCCAAAACTTGAGTTTTTCAGGATATCATTCAGGGAGTCATCTTTCTGTAACTACGGAATGGAGATACAGGTCCCTCTTCACAAGCAGCACTGAATACTAGGTCAAAAGACTACAGCTTCATATGCTACTGAATGAAAAAAAAGCAGATGCAAAGGGTGTATACTGAGTGATTCCTTTTCTGTGAAGTTCAGGACCAAGCAAACTAATCTCAGGTAGAAAAAAAAAATTACAACTGCAGTTACCTTGGGAGGTTGGGGAGTTGACTGAGAGGCGGCATAAGGGAACTTTCTGCAGAGATGGAATTATCATGACAGGGATGTAGTCACCTAAGTATATTCTTTTGTTAAAACTACACAGCTAAGATTAGTGCTATTCAGTGTATGTAAACTTCAGGAAACTGTAGAAACTGTTACCATCATTATCATGTGGGAGCTAAAAGTTGATGGAGATAAGGATGATGTAAGATAGGGGAATATGGAACCTGTTAAGGGGGCAGGGTACTATACTATTCTGCTTACTTTGTAGAGGTTTGAAAGTTTCCATGCTAAAGGTCATATTAAAATACTAGAATTTTAGGCGCAGCAAATCTCTCCTGCCTCGCACACTGCTCCCCACAGCAGTGTATTTCAGTACATCTGCCTGTTCTGCTCCCCACTTTGTCTCTGGTGAGTCCTCTCACCTACCACATCTCTAATCTGCACCCCAGCTCTTGTATGCATAAATAAAGAAATCTTTAAAAAAAATAAAAGACTAGAATTTTAAACACATTTCATTACTTAACAGTTATTAGGACACTGGGCATCTCAAACTTTACAAACCACAGGTTTATTTCTATATAATTATAAAATTATGAAAAGTGGCTTCTAATCTGTGAAGTTATATATAAATAAGTAAATTAGTAATACAGAAAATATGTGAATTATTAATAGACCACATCTCATGGTGGAATGTCTGAAAGACTCATTAATGTATTACTCTTAAGAAAAACATCAGATGTATTTGTTTATTTTTCAATAATTCTTACCTGAAAAAAAAAAGCGATAGAACTTATCAACCAAGAGTGTGGTTAACACAAATGTTATTTATATTTGGTTACAAAGAATACTGTATCTTTTTTTTTTTTTTTGCATAACCTCCTAACAGTGCAAAAATTTAAACCTTCAGAAAAAGTTTTCATTTCTTGCAGATACATCAACTTAATGGCTGAGAGAAGATGCCTAAAAGCACACTCCAGAAAAGACGTGGCTTGGAATATTAAATGATGCAGATAATTTACATGTCCAGAATTGACATTCAACTATTATAAAACCTACTGAAGCTAAACCACCCAAAATAATGTTTATGAGTTCATATAAAATCACTTTTAGATGAGACATTAAACACTTAATTGGAATGGATTATATTTGGAAATTAGAAAATCTGACAGTTGACCCTCCAATATTAAGACACATATCTATTTAATGAAAGACCAGTGGACATATGGACTATTCCTTTAATATATTTATTTTTTAAATTTATTAGGCTAAGCTTAGAATGTTACTAGCATATAATTCACCTTGTACTGAGGATGAGTGATGAGTGAAAGAGATGTGGGTGTAATTTTACTGCAACAGCTCAGTTTACTCCCCAGGAGTCAGACCATACTCTGAAAGGACAAACAGACTGGACTGCCGTGCTGGCCAGGTTTCGAAGTAACATAAGCATGCCAGAGTGATGTTTTAATTAAGCACATTCTAGTTTAAAAATAAATAGTTATAAGAAAATCACTTGGATAATTTTTTGGCATTAATCTTATTTTCAAATAATAGGTATATTATCTACTTGCAGTGTTCTACCATCTTCTATGATCTGGTTTAGGGAAATATGTTCCTTTTGGTTCTGTTCTTTGGCCTGGCCTTTCAGCTCTGCAAGAAATGACCTGGTTTACTCCTTGGGGACTTCAAATGCTGTGTCCAGTTTCTTCCACATGACTTCCCTAAAATTGGGAAGTCCCCTCCAACTGCTGGGCTTTAAGATGGCCTGAAAAAGACCATTAGAAATTAATAAACAAAACGATCACTATCATTAAACCAGACTGCTGTTTCTTCCTTTGCTATAGTAGAGCATATTACACAATACTGCAGCGAAAAGGCTGATCACTTCCGGAAAGATCAATGCTTCAAGCTGGAAGTACCAAATCCAGCCACAACCCTCAGCAATCTAATTTCAGTTAGGTTTTGAGTTTATCTTTCCTCCTACAGTCTGACATCTCCCATGCATGGAAAGGGTCTTTTCTTTAAGATGTTATGTTGCTTTCTCTAAATACCAACTCTTTGCTTTCTCCCCCCTAATACATCGCAGAGATGTACAGCTTTTCTGGAAGACTTTGAAATCTCATCACAGCCCACATAGTCTACCAGTCAAGGAGCGGAACATCTGATCTGTTGACCTAAACTCTTCTAGCAGAGAAATCAAACATCAAGAACAAATCACAGGGGGGCCTCCATGGTGGCGCAACAGTTAAGACGTAACCTATGAAGAAATCCGCAGCCACTGCAGCATGAGTTCGATCCCCGGCCAGCCAGGGAGCAACCCACATGGTACAGCAGACCTCTCCTGTCGTGCCCGCTGCTCCCCTCAGCAGTTTATTTCATCAGCCTGCCTGTTTTGTTCCCCACTCTGTCTCTGGTGAATCCTCTCACCCACCACACCTCTGGTCTGTACCCCAGCTCTTGTATGGGCATATATAAATAAATCTTTAAAAAAAAAAATCACAGGATGATGTGATCACCAAGGCTTGGATAAATTCCAGTTTTCTTGGGTCAGGTGACTTCTTTCAAGGTCATTTTTAACTCTAAATTCTATCATTAAGAAAGAAACACTGGAAAGTGGGAGAACAGAGGAATTTAGTGAGAGTGGGGAGTTTGTTAGAAAGGAAGTTCTACTGGATTTTGTACTGAACTATTCCACTCCCACCAAATTAGTTCACTTTATCAAGTTTGCTCTCACTTCTCTAAACTCAGGCCCTGATGTCAATGTGATATGAAGGAAGGAAAGTGGGGCTGGGGGAGGACTAGATAACAGATATGTAAACCTTAAGATAATCTCTCTAGTACCCAATCAGCAAATCAAAGGAGCCAAACCCTTAAGAGAGTCTCAACCATGGGAGTGCAATGAGGTCTATAAAAAGAGCACCTTGAAAATTTCTGTTCCAGAGAGCACCAGCAAGTGAACATTAAAGAACCACAGGCCCCAATACTTTTCACAACTGAGTGGAGGTGCTGTTTCAAAATACTGCTATGTAAACCTCCACCTAATCCTACTAGTTCAGACTCTCTGGTGGGCCTGGAAATCAGAATTTTTTTTAAAGATTTTATTTTATTTATTTATACAAGCATTGGGTACAATCAGAAGCATGGAAGGGTGAGAGAATTCACCAGAGCCAGAGCGGGGAACAGAACAGGCAGAATGATGAAACACACTGCTGAGGGGAGCAGCGGGCAGCAGGAGAGGTCTGCATGCCATGTGGGACCCTTGCCCGGTGGCCGGGGATCCAACCGGCACTGCACAGGCGGTGGGCAGCCTCACAACCCATCACTCAACCGCTGCGCCACTGGGGAGGCCTGGAAATCAGAATTTTTAATAAGAACCTCGGGTAGATGCTAGGGTTTGAAAACTTATCCTAGGTGCCACCATTGACTAGTTTTTCTCAATTTTTCTAGTGTAGAATGATTAGCATTAGTTATAGGCAGGGGGGATAGGATTTATGTCTCTTGACGTATCTGAATTTGGTTCCATTCAAATCCCTAGTAGGGTTGTCAAATAAAACACAGGACACTTAGTTATATCTGAATGTCAAATAAGAAATCTTTCAGTATATCTCAAATAATGCATTTAAATTAAACTTTTATAATAAAAATGATTCTTTTTCAGCTGAAATAAAAATTTAACTCAATCCTATATTTTTATTTGCTACATACAACAACTCACAGCCCCACCTCCATTGTAATGATGAGTAAAATTAACATACTGATATAATCACTTTTGATTTGCTGGCCCCAAGTTTAGAATATAGCATGTAAATAACACAGCTAAATATGAGAATGAGAATGATGATATTGCTTAGAGAATCTCATTCCTCAACTATGAAATGGAAAGGTTTGGACCAAATCTAAAATCCCATTAAACCAGTGAATTATTAACAAACCTTTAACCACATCAAATTTAATCAGGGTCTGAAATTCTCATTCTCAATGTCTGAAGCTTCTGAATGAAGCTTCCTTTAAAAAAGAAAATGAGTTCCTCAGCGTGGCACCCATACCCTTCATAAACAATTCTTGAAACCTACATTCTCCCTACTTATCAGTGGTGAGAATTTCAACCCTTATATGGTGGTTTGAATGTCCCCCAATATTTACCTACTATAGATTCTGTCCACAGTCTTATCTACCAGAAATGAAGGGTTTCAGAGAAGCTAGTGGACTCTCATATGATCACCCCAGGGATCTGGTGAAATATGGTGACCCCTGAAGTATTGTTTACCAAAATGTCTTATTATTTTAGCAGAAGATCCAAAATTATTCTAGGGACTTATTTCATCATCTCAAATCAAGGAGGAAGGCACAGCAGACATGTAATTCATGCTGACCAAAGACAGTGTAGAATGACTGGCATTAGTTATAGGCAGGGGGATAGGATTTATGTCTCTTGACATATCTGAATTTGATTCCATTCAAATGGCAGCAAGGAACCCAATGTCATTGGCTGTGACAGTATTTAACTCTGTCATATTTGTTGAGTTCTCTAAAATTTTTGTTTAGGTCCCATCCATAGGACAGCAAAAGTCTCCCATTTTCTTGTTTTACCCAAATTATCTCCCCTGCTTAAAAAGCTTTGGTTTGGGCAATTATGTTAATTA